TTTGTTGCCTACTCCGATGATGAGAGCTCCTCTGAGTCGACGGGATCCCGTTCGATGCTCACATCCCCCAATGCACAGTCTCAGGGGGAAGAAAATCACTCCACAGACCCCTCCATCACCTCACTACCCCATGACTCTATTCCGATTGATCCCGTCCCCGTTTACTCACAGTCACCATTGCCAACATACGCCTCCGGCGAACCCTTCACTTCATCTCTATCATCCCTACTATCAGAAACCCCAAACCCTAATCGCCATTTCTCTCCACCACTGTCACCAATCGAAACCCCTATTTCCACTACCGCCACCACTTCTCCTCCGTCACTACCTAGTCACCCACTCGAACACGATCTTGATGATGTTCCCCTCAGTGTTCTACATTCTCAGAAACCAAAACGACCACGCAAGCACATTGCAGTCAAGTAGAAACCTTTTCGCACGCCACTTACTCATAGTGCGAGTCAGGCCCAACTGCAAGAGGGTGCGACGTCAAGGGCTAAATTCCGTCGTCTGGGTAAGTCCCCCGTTCCACCATCTTCATCGCCGGTCATTCTTGATTCTGAGTCTGATGATATCTCTGCATCTAACCCTTCTGGAGCCCATTTCCAGTCGAAAAAGGCAAGTAAAAACATGAAAAAATTCTTGGAAATGGGAAAATAAAAGTATTTCAGAACTAAACCTGTGCTTAGGGGTAGAATTTTTCACCCGGATATTCTCTCAATAGATGTGGTAAAAAGGGTATGTGAGTTGCTTAACTTTCAGGGGTGGGGGAATTTATTTCTTGATACTGAGTTGCTGGTACATGAAAAGGAAGTTGTGGAATTTTATACAAATCTAAAGGTTTTGGAAGAAAATGTGGTGACATCCACTGTGAAAGGGGTAGAGTTGGTTTTTGATCGTAGTCGACTTGGGGAGATTCTATGTATACCCTCTGTTGGACTTGCTGAATATGTTTGGGCTACAGATGAACAGTGTATCATCACAACCAAATATTCCCAATGAAGGGTTACCTCCAAGGCTAGGAAGGTATTGACAGGTATTGAAAGGTGAGATAGCACCTGTGCATAAATTGTTGTTCGAACTTATTCATAAAGGGGTGTTACCTAGGGGACATAGGCGACACATATCGTCTTTTCGTGACATGGGAATTGCCAATGCCTTAGAAAGAAAGGAGCCCGTCGATTGGCCAAGTCTTATGATCAAACATATGGCCAGAGTCGCTGATCCGCAACCTGGTTCTCACCAGTTGGCATTTGGAAATCTTCTCACGAGAGTGTTCACTGCGTTTGTTGTCCCATTGGGTGAGGGGTGAGCCTTAACGCGTGCCAATATGTTCACTCAGTCTACTCTTGCTGAGTGTGGATTGATTGCTGACCTTGCGCAAGTTCCCATTGCCTCTCCAAGGGCGTCTGGCCCTGTTACTCGTTTACTCAAGGATCTGCAGGCTGCAAGGGACCAGTGTGAAACTTTACGGAATGAGAATATGTCCTTGCAAACTGAGCTAACTGCGTCTAAAGAAGAGGTTGGGAGATTGAAAGATCAGTTGGTACAGCAACAGCTTGACAACAACGCTCGAGTGGACCGGGTCCTCCAGTTGCTTGCTTCTTCTTCATCCTGTCCTCCAAACCTCAGCGATCCTTCCTCTTGACTCCTGTTGTCTGCTCCAGCTTCTTATGTTTCTTTGAACTAACGACCTTTGTTATGCTTGTTTTGTGATTTTGCTTAGACTGAATATTTTTTGGGGCTCATGAGAGCTTAAAATGTTGATGTATCTTGGATTCTCTGTTTCTTGTGTTTCTGCATGCTACTCTTCTTGTTGCCTATGTTTATAGATTGATGCTTTCATTTGCCTAGAGCCATTTGGTTGTGATCTGTGCGATGTTGCTCTTTCAGAGCTTTGAGTTTTGGTTAGCTTTGTTCATTCTGTTTGCTTCTTTTTTATATGCCAAAAGGGGGAAGTTAGTATTATATATTAGTCTTGTACATATAACAGTCGTGTGCATTGTGTATAAATGGATTTGTACAGGAAAATAGGAGTAGACGATTTGTCATCATCAAAAAGGGGGGAAATGATGATTTATGAAGTTTTGATGATAGACACATCTTCATATGCAATCCAATTTCAAAAAGGAGTTCAAAAAAGAAGAGTCAAAGAAGGAAAACTTTAAAGCAAGAAAGCAGAGCTAAAGAAGGGAACAAATAAAAGAGAAAGTTGTGTACTAACAGGATTTGTAATAAAAGGTCAAAATAAATCCTTTTCGTACACAACTTTATTTCGTTTCCTTTTACACATCGGACACCAATCTTCCAAACTCTATAAAAAGGATGTCAAAGCAGATGGGACAAGTTGTCTTTTGCAGAATCGAGAAACAAGAGAAAGAAAGAGTGAGAAAAAAAAACGCAAAAGCCTACTATATTGAGAGTTCTTAGGAATAGAATTCAAGAAGTTCTATACTTAGAATTTCTTGTGTGAGAAAATTTTTTATAGTTAGAATCGTTGTCATAGATCTTTTGTACAAGAAGTGGGTTTGACTTCTTGTAGAGTTGAGTTATTGAGAGGTTTGTAACAAGAGGTGGGTTTGGCCTCTTGGAGAGTAGAGTTAGTCGACTATAGTTAGTCGAGAGTTTTTGAGGTTATTGATTATTGAGTTGTAATCGTGACATAGTTGTTAAATAATAAAACAAGGTTTTTCCTTCCTTGAGTGAGGAAGGTTTTAACGAAAAGTATTGTGGGGTTGTTAAAGTGTTCTGTCATAAGCAAATATACAAGAACCTGGTTCTTGTTCTAGGGGTAAGGTTTCTTCAATGTGCTGACAGGTGGCTATTATTTTAAAATTTTATTTCTTTTAATTCTTTGAACTTTTCCTTTTCTTTATCTCATTATACTTCATATTTTATTTATTTTCCCTCTATTTTGCTACTTCCGATGATAATCCATGACTCTTCTCCGATGAGAAGCCATGACTTTTCTTCTCTCTCTTCTTTTCTTAGCAGAAATATTCTTGGTGAAATCTACTATAAAAATAGGTTGTTAAGTGAGTTAAAAGAAATCTATTTTGTCCTTTCAAAGTGCCTATCCTGCAGAATTTTTAACTAATTCTTGAATATAAATTAATCTAGCAGGTCCTAATGTTCCATTCTTATAAAGTAATTCAATTTGAACTGAAGCTAATTAAGCCATATACAAAATATTTTAGAAACCCATAAGTCTTCTTATTCATATTAGGAAGTAGGAGCCCATGAAATTTGAATTGTAGCTATAAGGTAATTATATTAATTTCATATAGAAAAAGATGTTTTATTGATGGCCGAATAAATTTATCGATAAAAATTTAAATTGTCGATTATAATCTCTTGATTCAATAAGCATTGTGGTTGGAGATTTATTTTCTCTAACTGAGTTATTTCTTTTGTTAATTGAGGCATTTTAGGTAATTCAACTTATTATTTAAATTATTTTGTGGTGATGAATTTTTGGTGGTTAGTGACAATAGTGATAGTGATGGTGGTAGTGATAGGGAAGTGTTGATATAAGTGACTCTAATTAAGGTGTTGAGAGAGACAAAAATCCAAATGAAAATAAAAAGAATATATCTTCTAACTCTTTCACGGAAAGTGTAATCACTTTCGCTGCCATAACAGTATATAATGGGTATATATTCCACTTTATAATAAGTGTAGGTTCATAGTTCCCCGTAAAATTAGAGTGTGTAATAACAATTTTAGCTAAAAAAAATTGAGTCATTTTTCCTAAATAATTCTAAAACTATTAATGATAATGAGATAAAACTATTGATTTGGTTTAGTGTCTAATTTGATTGTTGGTATCTTTATTGATTTTGATTGACTGTTTTAAATTAAGTAATCTTTTTCTGAAACACCTAAATTATAATAGCCTTACAAATTAAATAGTATCTAAGAACATGTACTGAGATATTATAATTTAAGGCAAGTTATAATTGCATGATCTGGAGAAATAAAAATTAGAATAATTAAGCGGGACAGATTAATGTGAAACGGGACGAAACAGATTGAAAATGCTAAAAATATATATTATGTAAAATGTGGTTTAACATTCCATTCTATTTTATTTTATTTTTCGGATAAAGCTCAACTTGCCCGCATCTAACCCATTGTCACCCCTAGGGTTGTTCATGGTTATAGTTAAAAAACCAAATCGGATCACAATCCGAACCAAACCAATTAAAAAAATTGATATTTAGTTGGGTTTGGTTTTAAATTTTGAAAATCGATATTATTTGGTTTGGTTTTGGTTTTACTAAAATAAACCCGCAAAAATAACCAAACCGAACCGATAAATTATATATATAACTTTTATAATTATTTTATATTATTCACAAATAAAATATTTAAATTTTAATTAATTTAAGTCTTTAACTTTACAATTTTCTCAAGCCCAACACTTTAGCCCAACTATAACAATCTTAAGTCTTAAGTCCATTAAAATTCATTTTAGTCTTTACCTAATCTACTTCACATAAAATAGTCTCACTTTCTCTTAATTGAAACACTTTGTTCGTATAATGATAACTCTAGTATTGCTTAATTGAACCGACAATAGCTTTTATGTGGGTTGTTCATGTGTTAGATGTTTGTGTCTACCGACTCAAGTCCTCAAAAAAATTACTATTACTTTCAAACCGGATAACCAGAAAAACTAAACCAAACCGACAATAACCAAACCGACAGTTACTTTTTCGTTTGGTTTTAGAAATTTAAAAAATCGACTAGATTGATTTGATTTTGATTTTAATCAATAACCGATTCAAACTGAACCACGAACACTCCTAGTCACCCCTAATTGTTACAACATACATACAAAATTTTATGGCCGCAAATATCCTTTTATTTCCAGTAAACCCAAAAAAATAAAAAATAAAATAACCAAACCATCCTAAAATGTATATAATTACAATCAAATTCAATTTTTTTTTTTGAAATAATGTATAAAATTATAATAAATTCCAAATTGTTTGACTTCTGCAGGAAGAAGATGTCTAGTTGATGGCACACGTACAAGTCAAAACGACGAAAAGGCCCTCGGAATTCTTCAAATTTTCATTTCTTCTCCTTCCTCTTACAAACCCTAGATAGAATCTTATCACGCGATCGATTTCGATAGCAGTTCGATCTTATTCGACTGCTGATCCTTAAGCTTTCTGTTGGAACTTGCAATTTATTCAGCTTCTCAACAGTTGTTTGCTGAAAAAATGAAATTTTTATAAGATTTGATCTGACGGAAGTTCAGATATAGCTGTGGAATGGGCAGAAGTAGAGTTTTAGCGATCATTTTCATATTGTTAATCGTTTCAGCAACTTCAAACGCGAAACTATTCAATTCCAGAAAGTTAGTTGATTTAATACAAAGCACCAATTCATCTTCTGAACAAGTAAAATTCCTCTCTTTGCATTTTCTTATGTATGTTTTTGTGATTTAAATGTGTAATAATTTGTTTTTTAGATGGAATTATTAGCTAACAGTGAATTGTTTAGGTATATGGTATAGTGAATTGGTGATGTAGATACATCTACTAATCTACATGTGTTGTCATTCATTTGTTTCAATGGAGTTAATAGTTAGAAATAAACTTTTTTGATGTATATGTTAGTGAATAGGTGATATAGATACTAAGACTGATTTTTATCTAGATTTCTGCATCAAATACTCCAGTTGAGGGTGAAAAGGAAGTCAATGATAACAAGTCTGTAATCGCAAAAGAGAAGCCTGGAAATCCTAAGGGAAACAATGATCCACCAAAAACCAGGCCAGAGGAACTAAATTCAACTATAGTCAATGATGGGAGATCACAAACTGAAAAACAAAAGCCTAAAGATCCTCAAGTAATCAATGAAGCACCTAAAGATTTGAAGGACCAGAATTCAACTGTAGTCAATGATGGAAGTTCAAAAGCTGAAAGTGAACAGCCTAAAGATCCTCAGGGAAGAAATGGTCCAACAAATATTGATTCAAAAGAGCCAAATACCACTGTAGTGAATGGTGGGAGCTCTAAAGCTGACAAAGAGAACCCTAAAGATCCTCAGCCTCAGGGAGGCAATCACTTACCAAAATTGGATCCGGATGGGTCTAAAAATGATAAAAATGTGACTGTTGAAACCCCTCCACCTGTTGAGAAGAAGGAGAATGAAGAAAAGAAGAAAATAGATGAAACAATAAACTCGGAAGTGAACACCAATGAGAGCTGTCAGAAGGCTACAAAAATGTGCAGGATTGGACAAACACTGCTTGCATGCATTCAGACACCCCAGAATGGTAAACTTTTTCGCTCATGAGACACACATGTTTCATTGAATAAGAAATTTGACTGAACTTTTATGGTACTGGTAAACCAACTGATATGTACTGGATTACAACTGATTACTAATTGCATCTTGTTTTAACCTGAAGAGTTTGAAGCCTGATATTTCTCTACATAGAGCTATAGGAAAAGCTAGACTGACATCATACTGATCACTACTATCTAATATTTCAGTAGGGAAACATTTAAAGCTTGCACCTAATATTATCCTTTGGAGCTTGGCGGCGCTTGCTGTAGTTTATTCACAGAAAAAGGTTTCTCCTGATATGTTTAAGATATTTTTATTTCCTTGTGAGAGATTTTATTTTTGAAAATAAAATATTAGTATTAGTCAATTGAATATAGCATTTTGTCTAGGATTATTTATTGAAAGAACCTAAAATCTAAACATTATGGCTTATGAGATCTTAAGATATATCTCACCCCCAAGGCCTAGCTCAAGTGGCAAAAGGTGGAGGATTTGTGGTTTAGGTCGCAGGTTCAAGCCCCACACCATGCAAAGCGAAGCCCGGTATTTAAGTGGAGAAGGGTAGAGGGGCGGGCCCATTATCCACCGAGTTTAGAAGACTGTGATTGGTCCAAAGGGCGGGTCACAGACGGATTTCTCAGTTATCAAAAAAAAAAAGATATAGCTCTAATACATTAAAGTTTGAATTAGAGCATCTTTCTTGCTGTCTTATAGGACCCTGCTCCCACATCCCAACTCATCACCTCAAAAAAGAATGGTAAGAGAAAGTGAGAACAAGGAGCAACATAAGTGTGGGCGGCACTTGATTTTTGTCTGTGTTTAGATGCCTTCCTGAAGAATAGTTCAAATTATCGTGTATATGTAACTGTTTAAGAGCTAATTGTCTAATGATAGTTGTTTGAATCAATCAAAGAATTCTCAATAACATTTGTTGAATATGTAAACGCATATGCTTTTATACTGACCTAATTATTTTATTAATTGGCAACTTTTATACTGACCTAACTGTGGAGCGGAATTTTGATCTGGAGTTTTGGCAGAGAAGCACTTGTCATTGGAGTGCTGCGTGAGATATGAATACACGAACTGATATACATATTATACTTGATAGGACTAGGGCAGGACAAAAGGATTATTTGCAAAAACTTTTTTTTTTTGAAACTGGTAAGGTTGAATTCTTCAGCATTACGGGTATGGTGGCTACCTCCATAAAGGGATAATTATAGATTTCCTATCAAATCTATAATCTGAGATTATTTGCAAAAACTTCTCATACAACATGACTTTTTTCTGCATCGGTGCATAGGGGAGAGATTTGCTATCCTTACTAGAATTTAGCATGAACACTTCATTGTGTATTGAGCTTCCGGGGCTTTGGTCTAGTGGTAAGAGCTCAACGGGTGATGTGTGGATTAGCGCATTTCATTGTTCGAACCCTACCACAAACAAAAGTTTTGTATTTAAGTGGAGAATGTAGAGGGACGGGTTTATATCCACTAAGGCCTCACTTGTTTCATTAAGATTCAAACATCTAAATCTGAATGCACATCTGAATATTAAGATGTGTATTAAGCTTCAGATGTTTAGGATAGCAAATCTCTCCCCTATGCACCGATGCAGAGGGACGGGTTTATATCCACTGAGGCCTCACTTGTTTCATTAAGATTCAAACATCTAAATCTGAATGCACATCTGAATATTAAGATGTGCATTAAGTTTTAGATGTTTGAATCTGGAGATCTAAATACTAAATAATTAAGAATGTTTATCTTTTGAATGTCTGAATGTATAAGATTTGCCTTTATTTAAAAGTTTATAAATATAAAATTTTATAAAATACTAAATTAATCTAATACTCTATCAATAACAACAAATTATAAATTATTTTGGTGGTTGGTGGTGGTGATGGCTAGTGGTGGTGGTTGTCGGTGTCGATTAGGGATGTTGTTAGTTAATGATGGTGTTGTGGGTTGTAGATAGTGTTGATGGTGGCTGGCAATAGTGGTTGATGGTGGTAGTTGGGGCTAGCGATTAATAGTTATGGTGGATGATAGTGTTAGCTAATGGTGATGGTGACTGATGACAGTGGTTGGCAATATATAGTGGTGACTAATAGTGATATTTGTCAATAGTGATTGATGGTTGTTGTGATAATGGTGATTGGTGGTGATGATTGTAAATGGTGGCTAGTGGTTGTGGTCAAGTATGGTGGCTAGTGGTTGTGGCCTAGTATGGTGGCTAGTGGCTGTGGCCTAGTATGGTGGCTGGTGGTTGTGGCTAAGTATGGTGGTTGTGGGGTGGCAACAATGGTAGTTTACAATGGCTGGTGATGTCGGTAGCGGTGAATGAACAAAATTGATGAACTGCGATCTTTGTAGAAATCTTTGAATAAGCATCCTAATGATATTTAAACTTTGTTACATATCTTAATTATTCAGATGTATTCAAACCCATTAAATGGTTAAAACATTAAACAAAACATAATGGTTAAGATCTTAATGATTAAAATTCAGACCTACAAATCAACGGACTTAATAACTGAAATTTGAATGATTATGATTTAAGACTTTAATCTAGTGTAAACAAATTAGGTCCAAGTATCGAACCGTGCATCATTAGCCCTTTGGAGTTTCTCAGTTGCCAAAAAAACTTCATTGTGTACTGATATAATATTGCTATTGATGATAGGGGCTATTGTCGATAGTCTCAGGTTTGCGTCTTACTCGTTTATGATGGAACTTAGATTATCTGTACCAAGTTGCATATAAAGGCGTGAAACCTCTTTATGATGAATTTGAAGACATGAGCTATCCTCTCCTCTCAAAATTTCCATTAACACTTGCCTAATGCCCATTTATTTTCACTTAAACAGTGTTTTGAATCCATTAAGTGTTTTTTTCCTTCTTCAACCACTTATTTGCTATGAATAAATCTGGTTCATTCAGATTTTGTACGTAACTTTAGAATCATTAACATGTTTGCTTAAAGATTTCATCAAAGGTGACCTTTTACTACCACTACACAACCACCACGACTAGTGTCCACCGCACAACCACTATGGGCTGTTCTCATTGCCAACCACCACCCCCAGCCACCTCAATAACCACTACTAGCCACCACCATAAACTACTACCACCAACCATCACCTCAAGACCATCATGGTCACCAGCTAGCTTTTAGAGTGTATGGCATCAAACAATTTTTACAATGAAGGTGGGTTAACATTTTCTCTAATATTTTGTGAATACTATATTAATTAGTATCTTTTTTGTTTAAACTGTTTAGTTAGTATTTTATTTTGAATTTTATATTAATTCATTTTTTAAAAACAAAAGATAAATTATACTTATTAAGATAATGAGAAGTCAAAGAATCTTATTCATCTAGTTGCAAAATTTATAAACACATCTTGATAAGCAGATCCATATTAGGATTCTAACATCTTAATCTAAGAAAAAACAAATGGGGACTACAAGTGTTTGATTCATGAGCTGTATTCCTTTTTTCAACCTTCTATCCCCAATTCCTTAATAAATTGCATGCATTGAATATATTATTGGTTTTATTAAGTAGGATCGTTAATAAACTATCATCCTTTGAAGGAAGTAATCAATTGATAACATCACAATCTCTTCAAATAGGAAGGTATATGGGCTCTTTTTGCAGTTGGTCTTCTTCTATTGTGGGTATAACTTAATTCTATCCTTATTTTACAGGAATTGTTCCATGCACTTCTGTTTTTTGGGTTTCTTCTGAATTGATTGATTCCTTACGGTTGATCTTCTTGTCTTTTTCTTTTGTGCTGGTTTATGATCATGCCCAAGTGCACAAGCAAATTAGGAAGTCTTTAATATTTTAAAAGAAAGGAAAGAAATGGATGTAGAACTGGAAAACTAAAAATTAAAGAGAGTGAGACCTGAGAGGAACAGAAGAAATACCAACTTAATTACAAAACCAAGAAAACAAAACTAATGGAGAACTGAGAAACCAAAATTAGAAGAGAGGCAAAGCAGAACTGAAGAAGTCAAAAACTTTTACATTTCAGAAAACATAATTAAAATTAGAAATAAAAGGAGGAGAAAAATCAAGGATGGAAATGAATGTCCTTACATAAATGTTCCCTTCAATTCATTGCGAGATCGGGGAACTCCCGCACGTAAAGACGGAACTACCATAGAACTTCCCAATTAAAACCTACATAAATGTATTTGCGAGGACAACTTACGTGATGATCCTATTGATCAGGGTGTTGATAAGCATAGAGAATAATGGATATAGATGTTCTAAAATAAAAAGAAGGTCCAACATTACCAGTTTCAAAAAAAAAAAAGGCCTCTACTTTTATCAGGATTTGCATCAGTTCAATCACAATTTTATTTCCTCCAATTGCTATTATACTGGGAAAATGAGCCTGAAAACATAGAAGTATAGTGAGCAGAGAGAGTGAGCAACAAGTATCTCATCTAGAACTTGAAGTTTCTCATCCCTTGTTCCATTAGACTGTGATCAGTGTATTTTTCTTTGCTACCATGCCAATATAACAGAGGCACAGACTCTCTCTCTCTCTTGGTGTGTAATTCACCTTTCTGCTCGCTCTCATTGACCTTGCAAATAAGCTTTATATTAGTCTTGTCATGGTAAGTGAAATATGTCATTGATATCTGTGATAGGTTTGCTTTTTATAATATACAGGATCTACTGAATTGTTACTTGTGGTGCAAAATGAAGGGGAAAAAGGAGTCAAAGTAAATATCAATATCCAACCTCCTCTAGATGGTTCTCCACAACCTCCTATTGAAATACCCAAACATCAAGTGGAAAAGGTATATATACAATCTCTTGATATTGACTTGCCCCCTCCCTTCCCCAGCTGAGGGTCTATAGGAAACAGCCTCTCTACCTCCAAGGTAGGGGTAAGGTCTGCGTACACACTACTCTCACTAGACCCCCACTTTGTGGGATTACACTAGGTATGTTGTATCTTGAGGTGATACTGTAAAGAGAAGAATTAACTTGGGCATATCGCACGCATTTGAACTTCTACTGTTACAATGACCAACTGATTACTGCTACCTGTGAATGGATGTAATATGTTTTTGTTTGTCTGTTTGAGAATGAATGCATTGTCTGGCAAATGGAATGTAGAATTGGAAGGGAAATATCATGCCACCTATATTTTAGCTGTTGGCCTAATTTTGTCTTTTTGGCTTAAAAACAAGTGCTTAAAGCACTTCTATACTTCACCAAATACTACAGAAGTGCTTCAAAGCTATTTTGGCTTAAAAGCACATAAAATAAGCCCAATCCAAACAGAGGCTCTAATTGTCTTAGTTCCAATTGTTTCTTATCTATGTTTTTTAAGCAGCTCAAATGTATTATATAGGAATTCCTGTGAGGAGTTTTTACTTACAGTTAGTTTATTTCTTTATCCAGCCTTACTGTTGGGGTTATATTCCACAAGGGATGTTGGGTAGAATTCTCAATTGTTCTTCTCAGGGCTCTCCCAGTGAGGTCCCTTATCACAACTGAACAGCACTAGAAGGATCAGTCTTTTCTTAGGATTTAAATTACAGACCCACATATACATATTCCTTTCGCTTCCAATCATGGAGATATTATGAAACTTCTATTTTTTTATTTTTGGGGGGGAGGGGGGGGGGGGTTTGAGGAACGGTTGTAGTTCAAATGTAGGAATGGGATTTTAAGAGGTACTTTTATCATTTATAGTAGCTCTGTGCATCGTTGCTAAAATCAACTGTATCTAGATATTAGATGGTTTTTAAAGTGAACATATATGTTGCTGGAGTTACAAGGCTGTAAAGTTGGGCTGAAAGGCCTGCATGAATGGGATTGAGCCCCACCAAAAAATTGGTTTACAAAAGGATGGCGACTAGCAAAGGATCGTTTAGATTATGGTTTCTTGTCTTCTAGGTATTAATGGGATTTGACATCTTAACAATCTGACTGGGATACTCAAATTTCTTGTGTATGTGATGTAACTAGCAAATTGGAGGTTTGAATTGAACAAATCATGGATTAGAGGGGAATAAAGGTAGTAAAGTTTAGGAACAACTCCATTTTGATAAGGAGTTTACCAATTACTCTTAGTGTCTCATAGACGTCACAATTCAGGTGGAGTACATCACATATTCCCCACCCTTCACCAATGAAAATCTCACGGACTTTCTCATTATAAATACTTTTATCACTATCATGAAGGCATCCCTGACTGTTTGATAGTATAACAAGATGGAGCAGTTTCTTGATTCAATGACGTCATTCTTATTAGATCTGTATAAAAAATAAAGAATGAACCATTAATAAATATTAGGGGATATAAGATTAAAGTACATCATTCATTTGGCTTCTGTTTTTTCCAGTTCTTTTGGCTGCTGGTGCTACTTTTAAGGGGGGTCTTGGCAAATTCCCTAGCTTCTCAGAGAGGAATTTTTTTTATAATAGCACTTTCATAAAAGCATAATTTCATAAGGCGTCTGAGGTGTTCCCTATCTAGCCATAAAAAAGAGCCTGTACGACGCACTTGCTTAAGAGTTTATTTAAATACTACTGTATAAGCACATCTGGTGCTAACAGAAATAAAATTAAGGAGGTCTAAAATCTGAATTTACAGACACTAGGTTTAACTTGGTCTATTCCAGTGCTTAAAAGAATGGTCTTACATCTGGTTATCAGAAAAAAGAAACAAAAAACGGGTGTTACATCTCAGTGCTTACAAGATTGGGTGGAAATGAACTTCTAAAATCTCAGAAGTTTTCACTTTGGCAAGATTCTCACTCAAATTGGCTACCTTTGGCACTTGGCATTGTTTACCAAGTGCTTTCTGATAGTTGCCTTTTATCCAACCACAACTGCGGACCTCCCAAAGTATACTTCGCTCGCAATTTCGCAATTTTGTACAACCTGGTTAATTTTCCAAGTTATGCCATATGTTGGATGTTTGTTCTAATATTACAAATCTGCTATGGTAGATCGATATTTCATCAATCTTGGGCAAAGGTGCTGAAATAGTGCTGAATGCTGGAGATGCTAGTTGCAGGCTTCAATTGGACAGGCATGTTTCTGTGGAGAACATTCTGCAGCAGGTGTCTCTTTATTCTAAGCGTATGACCCCCATCTATGGTGCATATTTCCTTTTCCTTGTAGCCCTACTTTTTGGCGGGACATGGGCTTGCTGCAAGCTAAGGAAGAAGAGACATCAAGATGGTGTTGCGTATCAGGAATTAGAGATGGGAATGCCGGAATCTGCCTCAGCTGCAAATGTTGTTGCAGTAGATGGTTGGGATCAGGATTGGGATGACGATTGGGATGAGGAGAATGCAGTGAAGTCACCAGGTGGACATACCTATGGGAACATCTCTGCTAATGGCCTCACGTCTAGGTCTTCTAAAAAGGACGGATGGGAAAATGACTGGGATGATTAGTAATAGAACATCCAAGAGAAAAAAAGAACTGTTCTGTGTTACAAGAGGTACATCCACCACGGAAGAGCTGAACGTGTGAAAACTTTTTTTGTAATTTAAATCTATAGTTTTTTTGTCTTTACAAACTTGAATATTCTTTCTCTTAGCACATTCTTTTGACAGTAGTTATTGGGTTACCTACTACAATATGTTGTTACATATGTATTTTCCTTGTTGGAACGATTTTTTAAGTGAAATGAAATATTACACATTATACCTACTTGCTCTAGTGAAAGTCTTTCTTTCTTGAGAATCTCTGGTGTGTGATTCTAATCGTGCCATGTTCAAATGGATAGAAACCCTTATGAAAAATGTGGTTCAATTTTGTTGCTTTAATTCTTAAGGAAGTTCACACTGCTAGCTTTTCTTTGATTAATCCTGGAAAGCCTAAGATTTAGTGGTAAAGAATCTTTTATTTACCACAAATGGTGGAGGAATAAATTTAAAATTAAAATGCAACGCCCTTCGCTTGTAATTTAAAGAATGAATAGTGAAAAGAAAATAAGAGGTTGTCAATCAGTCTACCAAACAGAGCCCATTCATTGCCTTGGGACGGTTAGGCTAAAATGTCCCACATTATCTGGATTGACTTGTTTTAGGTGTTTTTAAGTCAAAATAACTTTTAAACACTTATCAAGTGTTTGAATAGAATTTAAGCCTACTTATAAGCACTTGTTTTAAGCTAAAATAACAAAAATAAGCCAAAAAAGATAAGTTAGAAACCCTAACTTATGACTTTCGGCTAATAAGCCAAAAGCAATAAGTCAATCAAAACTAGCTTTGAATATGATTTTTTTCTTTTTCAGATTGACTTGAACCATAGTTAACTATTGATTGATACACCAAACTTGTAAAAGTTTGTACAACAGATGAGGGAACACATAACTACTTTATACACATGTACTACATATATACTGGTCTTCTTTGTACCATTCAATTTTATCATTATGTTGAGAAAGCTAAAATTGAAGTCTTATAGTACAATCTTCTTCTCCCTAGAAAATGGAGTAAGAAATATTGCACTCTTCTAAGCTTTTTTTACTTTTGTATTGTTTACATATGCCCAAGTCATCACTTTATGCCCATGAAATGAATAAACAGATTGAAGGTTATATAAGCTTTGTCCCCACTCATGAAAGATCTTTAATAAAGCAAAGACATATAGCACTAGTAGATTAGTGAAAGTTTAACATGGAGTCTCCATCATTGTGTCCTCATAAAGGAAAACCCCTAAAGAGAAAAGAATTGAAAGAAAGAAAAAAAAATCATGTTGCTCTCTCTATACACTGTCCAAGATACCTTTATTTTCTATCATGTAATAGTGTTTCACTCTTTAAAGACATTCAAATTTTATTTTTTGGAACACTAGGAAATTACGCATCTGTTTTTCATAATTGAGTCTCTTGATCATGGTAGGTATATTATTTAAATATTTCCCAAGCATGCAACTAGTGTATTTCTTGTATCATAATCTATCCAAGGAGTAATTATGAGTAGAACAATCATGGTAGGCTCTGCCATAATGGTTTATGATGGCCTTTAGAACTATTTCTTGTTTAGGCATAATGGTTATTAACTAAGACCAAATATGGCTAAGTGTTTCAATAATCATTTGAACTTGCACAAATAATGTTGTTTGTTGGACAAGCAACATCAATCGTGCTTAAACCACTAAATACTCCCACCGTCTCTATTGACTTGTCAAATATTTCCTAATTTGAATTTCCTTTTCCTTGTCATCTTTGACAAATCAAGGAAGGACAATTTTTTTCTTCCTATTATACCCTCAATTTATTAACATTAAGTTAATGTCTTTGAAAAATGTACTAGTAAGTAAATATGCTTAAGACTATCAAATAACAGGGGTAAAATGGTAAACTCACTATATTAATAATTATTTTCTTAATAAGTGTGTCAAATTAAAACTTGACAAGTAAAAAGAGACTGATAGAGTTTTAAATGGAATGAATGAATCTCAATGGTCAATGGTGATTTGAAATTTAAACTTACAAGGTTATTCATCTTTATTGTTGGCATTTAAAATTCACTTTTACATTAAAAATACAAAGCTCTTTATTGTTTAAACAAACTTGGCATGATAGCAACCCATTTTCATGCACATGGGACAAGTGCAGTTAAGGTCCCCCCACCCCACCTAGTCTTCAATTCATTCTAGTAAGAATTGATATCGAAGCATTCATTATTTCACCAACCTCTCCTACTTTAACATAAGTGTGCTAGTGAATGGATTCTTTCTCATTATTCAAGAAAGACATTTTTGTTTGCAAATATAAAAAATAATGGTCACATTCTGATAAGTAAAATTGAACACGCACGCATCTTACGTGACATAATACGTTTAGGATGTGAATTTGAATTTTCACATAGGACGCATGTGTTTACTTGTTCAACTTTATACAAATTTAAGTGGTTGTTGTATACTCAAAGTTAGGGAGCATAGATGTCAGCTAACGTCAAGTTAAAAGGGTATGTTAATGTATCATGACTCTTTTTTCTAGGCATAATACATAAACATGACCCTTAACTTGGCTTCAGCAGACAACTATGACCTTTAACTTTGGATGTGCGCAAGTAGACACTTAAACTTGTATAAAATTGAACAAATAAGCACATTTACCCTATGTAGCATCTTTCATGACGTCCTACATGTATTATGTCACATAAGACACGTGTGTCTACTTGTTCAATTTTATACAAGTTTAAGTATTACTTGTGTACACCTAAAATTAGAGGACATAGATGTGAACTGAAGCCAAATTAAAGGACATATTTCTGTATTATGACTCTTTTTTTTATGTTAGGTTACTGCTCATTAGCATTATCTAAAATGGCTGGATGTGTTACCAAAATGATATCCAAAGTGTTAAAGGAAATGAAATGCCACTGAGTGGTGGGCTACTTTGATGTTTTCATTTCATTAGGAATCCATGTGGGTCTTCTTCTATAAGAATACAACTGATGTATTTTTTTCAGCTTTGTATGGACAACAACATCAAACAAGCACAAGACAACAAGTTGGATGTCTGAATACTATATAAAGACAATGCCAGTCTATCCAAATCTAACAAGGGTCCCAAACTGGAGCTGGTGAAGAGGAATCCAGTTATTTAAATAACATATAAAGATTTAACATGTATGGATATGACAAAATAACAAGAGGATAGTGACCTTCTCCAAATGTAACAAACAAAACTGAATTCCTGTTCACCACATGACTCATTCTCTATAATCTGGTTTTCCACAAACACCTTATAACATTACTCTATTTCCTCTGGACTTTCTGACGGACATCGAATTAGCTCCAAAATTTTGATCACCTCTTCCATGTCTGGTCGATTGGATGGAACTTGAGATGCACATATTAAACCAAGTTTCACAACTGGAATTGCCTCTTCGACAGGGAAGTTACCTTGGAGCCGTCCGTCAATGCATTCTTCTATCCTGCCTTCTTCTAGTGCTCCCCGCACCATGTCACATAATACAATCACGTCATCTTCCATGTACTCCATGGGTCTTTTCCCTGTCACCACCTCAAGAATCAAGATGCCAAATCCATAGACATCACATTTCTCAGTTATCTTCACCGTCTGGCATGCAAATTCAGGAGCCATGTATCCAAGTGCACTCTGAATCTTGCTGCTCAATATGTAACGATCCAAGACTGGTAATAAACGAGCCAAACCAAAATCTCCAACTTTTGTGCTGGCAGAACCATCATCTATGAGGACGTTGGTTGACTTCATATTGTAATGAATTATGTTCAGCTGGTGCAGATAGGCTAAGCCTTTCGCAGTATCAAGAATAATGTTGAACCTTTGCTGCCAAGAGAGACTCCTTTTGGAACTTTCCTCATGGAGTAATTTGTACAAGCTGCCTCCAGATACATATTCATTAATCAGGAGCTGGAGAGAAGGTGTCCAATAATAACCTTCAAGTGCCACAAGGTTCTCGTGCCTGATGCTTCCGAGACTTTTCATTTCCCTCTCAAAATCTTCTTGGGACTTGATCAAACTTGTAATGTTGAGCTTCTTAATGGCAACAGAACGTCCATCTCCGAGTTCTGTCTTGTATACAGATCCAAAACCACCACGTCCAAGTTCATTATCCTTGTTGAGCAGCGCTTGAGTTCCAACAACAAAATCTGCATCACCAGAAAACATAACAAGCTTGCCTAGATTGGCTTCTGTACCATGTGAATGGCTAAAGTCATCGCCACCAGATAAGGTGAAAGTTGCAGCAGAGAGTGCCATAGAAGAGCGCACATGCAAATTGAGAATAGAAACGACCACTACTCCAAGTGCTATGAAAACTGCTGCTCCAATGGCAATGAGAGATGATATACTGAGCATGATTCTCTTATGACCAAGCGAAGTAACAGAAGCATGATTCGGGTCAGATGAATTGGGGTTTAGTACAAGAGGCTTTGGATGGACAGCAGGGCAGGAGTGGTTGAGAACAGAACCACATAGGGATGGATTACCAACAACAGATGATGGAGAAATGGTGTTGAAAAAGCCACCTACTGGAAGTTCACCTTTGAGATGGTTGTGGGAGACATTAAATGTGGCAAGGTGCGAAAGATTGGTTAGTTCTTTAGGTAAGCTTCCAGAAAATTGGTTAAAGGAGAAATCTACCACTTCAAGAATGGTCAACTTAGCAATCTCTGGAGGGATAGGGCCAGTGAGGTTGTTGTGTGACAAGTCCCTACACAATCGAAAATGCAGAACAAATGACTCTTAGAATCACACAGACATAACAAATGCAAACATCATGATGCACATAACTGCAATTTAAACGAAGATAACATGATCGAAAAGCTAAATACAAAAGTTTTCAACACATTGAATAAAAATGAGATGGAAGTGGCAGGAAACTTACAATGAACTTAGAGCAGAGCAATTCGCTATATCTGCAGGAATTGTACCACTCAAATGATTTTCTCTCAGCTTCAGTTCCAGCAATGAAACAGCACTCCCAATTTCACTGGGAATACTTCCGTTTAGTTGATTGTGACTTAAATCAAGAATTCGAGTTGCGTTTAGTTTACCTACAGCTTCTGGAATAGTACCAGACAAAAAGTTCCTGGAAATATTCAAGACCTGCAAGCTACTGATATTCCAAATGGCAGCTGGTATTTCACCAGATAATGCATTGGAAGACAAATCCAAAACTTGAAGGCTTCGATAAGAAGCATCCATGGATATGGACGGATAATCTATATGCCCGGTAAACCTATTCCCCGAAAGAGAAATACTCTCTACACCCAATTCAAAGGTCCAAGAAGGAAGGTTACCAGTCAAGAAGTTGTTGCCTATGTCCAAGATTACAAGGTCATTGCATTTCATCAAGGACCGAGGCAAGCTTCCAACGAAGTAATTGTTTGACAAATTGAGTTCCTTTAGCAATGAAACATCTCCCATAGAGGTTGGAATCCTACCAGAAAGATTATTCGCAGAAAGATCCAAAACCTTGAGGCTTTTCATCTCTGCTATCCAATCTGGAATCTGCCCATTAAGCAAATTTGATCTTAACTCCATATTGGTACAAAAACCCAATCTTCTCATAGACTCAGGAAGTTCCCCATTCAACAAATTGTCACTGAGATCAATTGACTTGAGCTGCACACAGTTTCCAATATTTTCAGGCAGCCAACCAGTAAACTTGTTTTTATGTAAATTAATTGACCTCAAAGAATATAAACCTTCAATTGCTTTAGGAATCTCACCCTCCATTAAATTATCAGAAACATCAAGAGATTGAAGAGAGGTTAAGGACCATAAAGCTGAAGGCAACGGACCCGAAAGGCGGTTGGATGAAAAGTTAACCCTTTGGAGCGTTGAACAAGATGTTAAAGATTGAGGGATTTCACCAGTAAGATTGTTGTTTGCAAAAGAAACAGATTGTAAAGAGCTACATTGTTGAAAAAATTCATCAGGGATTGAACCTGACAAAGTGTTGTGACTCAAATCAATAACCCTCAAGCTAGGTATTTGGGATAAAATGGGATTGATATTGCCAGTAAAGTTATTGTTAGACAAAGACAAAACCTTTAAGAATTGTAACCTCAAGAGACTTCTCCCAATATGTCCAGAAAGAGAGAAATTATCAAGTAAAATCTCAGAAACTCTATTGGATTGAGGATAACAATTTATACCAACCCAATTACAAGGAGTAGGATCATCTTCTGTCCAAGATGCAAGTTTAGATTTAGGGTCAGTGAATCCAGCTTTCAAAACAATTAAACCCATTACATCATCATTGAATGCTGGGTCTAAAGAGTGTACCAGAAATGGAGCTAAAGATAAAACAGTTATTATATGCCACAACATTTTGTCTCCAACAAAAATGAAATATATGGTGAAGAGATATGTAAATTGCATATATAAGAAAACAAAACATAAAGGTTAAAGAATAGATTGAGTGAATAAAAGAAACATTGTCAGTGGTTGAAGATAGAGTAGAAGAAAAAGGGTATTCTGCAAGAATGTGTGTGTGATGGAGAGGAAGAAAAAGGGTGTTTAAGCAGACAAGTTGGAATCAAGAAAGAGAGAAACTTAAAAGGGGGAGGACAGTTTTAGAAGAAGAGAGTGACGAAAGACAGTGAGTAGTGAGAGAGAAAAGTTCATCAAGGCTGGTTCTTTGTTGAGGAGGTGGATTCAAATGATTTTGTATAGTCAAAATTAGACAAGTTTTGGAGTGAAGAGAGAGTGTAACGCCGAAAAAACAGCAATTCTCTCTGCCCACTGCCTCTTTAATATGGTGGACTATGGACACTACCCCGCCCACTATTTCTCCGCTTTCATTTCGTATTTATTACTTTCGTTCTTAATTACTTGTCCACTTTTGAATTGACATATTTATTAAAAAATATATATATTGATATAGTGAGTAAACCATTTTATCCTTATTAATTATGAAATGAATGAATTAAAAACGTAAAGCTTTTTAGGAAGTTTTACCTTTTTCAAAGTAATTAATTGAGGATATAATAGATAAAAAAAAATTATCCTTTCTTGATTTGTCAAAATGGACAAGTAATTAGGGACAACTAAAAAAGGAAAAATGATCAAGTAATTAGGGACAGAGGGAGTATTGAATTTGTAAGAAAGTGTACACCTATTAAGAAAAATATTTAATAATATAAATTATATTCTATTTTTGGTAGTTGTTATTTGTGAAATAATAAATATAATTTTGTCAGTAGTATTATTTATGTCATAGAAAATATAAAAGTTCATTAAAAAAAGGCTAATTATGGAAAAAAAATTAAACATCCATCTTAAACTTCAAACAATTCAATTATTTTGAACAATAAAAAAAAACCCAAAAATTCACTTATACTTGCTGCGAGGTTGGAAAATAATATAAATAAATACATATTAATTAGAAAAAAAATTCAAAAATAGCAAACGTAATAGATATAATAAGGCTTTATTGCTATAATTTCGATAATTGCGCTCCATATTTATGATTGCTATGGAGGCGAATTTTGTATATTTTTGTCTGTTTGTACATTTCACTTGTGAATATACAAATAGGGTAAATATATACAAATTATGTATTTATACATTCATGAATTTTTCAAAATTTCATTTGTATATTTCGCTTGCCAATATACAAACAAGGTAAATTATTATGAATTTTTCATAAATCGTATACAAATAGCTAAGGTAAGCATATACAAATTTTTGGATTTATATAGTCAATAATAGAATTATAAAATTCTGTATTTATACAAATCAGACGAATTATACAAATCAGGCGAATTAAACAAATTAGGCGATAGCAAAAATTGGGAAAACTGAAGCCGCAAATTACATTTTTTTAAATTGTAGCAATAGTATCTACTATCTAGTATAGTCTATACGTTTGCTATTCTGCATAGTTTTTCCTATTTATTATTATTTCATTTTTATTCATTCATTATTTCATAAATAGTTTTATTTTTATTTTTCACTTTTAACATATCAAAAAATATAATTATTTATCTGTTAACATGGATTTAAGATTAAAAAATAAAAAATAAAAAAATATTGGAAAAGTCTTCTACATAAATTAACATTAGTGATTTTTTTGGTTTCTCATCCAATTTCCAGGTATTCGCATTAGAGTCCAACCAATTGAATTCGCGCGGCACAGAGCCCCATCCGGGGGAAGCGCTCCCTATCAAAAAACTTTTCATATCAAGGATTCGAATCCGAAACTTCTAATTAAGGGAAAAGTAACATCATTCATTGCAGCACATCCTTTGATGTTCATATTAATGAAATTATGAAAGGGGTTGTTAGATCTTGGTTTAGATATTAATTTTGTTTATAAACTTTTGTATAAAAATATTTCTAGGAGTATTAAAAATAAGGTCAAGTTAAATTTAAAATCTCTTAACTTTCATCTTATGGCTATTAATAACCACCATACATAAAACAACATTCAATTCAATTTTTAGTTGCACATTGAAAACAAAATATAATTTATTGATATTGTCTTTTAAACTAAAATCCAACCTTCTACAATGCAAACGTAATGATAATGAAAGACACCTTCAACTAATTCTAGTCAGACATTTTTTTTCCGATGTTCTTATTCTTTAAAATAGTTCATCACATCTTCAAAACACACGTATTCAAGCAAAAAGAGAAAGAGAAGAAAAAGAGAATTATTTAACTGGCTAAAACAATGTGATAAAAAGGAAATCACCAAATTTTATTTTTTTTCAAAAAGTCAAATTTAATTTTAAGCTATTTATAGATTAAGCAAAGAAAAAACATTACAAAAAATTACTCCCTCCGTTCCTATTTATATGTCACCATTTTTTATTTCACATGTATTAAGAAATTAAGTAAGTTTATTATTTTATCCTTATTTAATTTTTTTGAAGTCAACTTTTCAATTAATGAATATGAATTAATTTATTTTGATTAATTAATTTGACCAATGAACATGAATTATCCAATTAGTTTTTCTATGTTGGTCAAATGTATATTTTCAAGACTAATAACTCACAAAGATAAAATAAAAAAAATATTATAATTTATGCATTAATTTTATGAAATGATAAGTATTATAGACTAACTATTTATAGTAAAAATGACATATAAAAAGGAACTGAGAGAGTACATTCATATCAAGTGGTCAAAGATGATGGTGCTTGTATTTTTGTCCTCAAATATCAACCATCATCTTTTAGGGTCGTTTGGTAAAATGTATTAGCAAAAATAATGTATGCACTAGCTTTGTGTATTAGTAGTCTCTTGTTTGATACACTTTTTTATGCTATATATAACTAGTGCCGATAAAATGAGCCCATATTTTATTAACCCCTTTAATCTGTCCATATTTTAATGGGTTGGGTGAGTAACTTTTTAGATGGGTAAATAATGGGTTTATACTCATATTTAATCCATAGAAATATGGGTATTCATGATTTCATGGGTAAAATATGAGTTAAGCTTTCAACTTTTATTCACTCAAAATTCATGATATCATCAAAAGTGTTGTAACTTCTCTTTTTTTTTTTTTTATGTTCTAATTATTCTTCACTATAATTGAAAAGGTAAAGTCTTTGACCCTCCAAGAAAATATAGATTATATTACATGTACATTTCTTTTGTTAATTATTATTATATTTATTTGTTTAATTTTATATTTGATAACAAATAATAGTGAAAAGTAAGCAAATCATGTATTAGTATTGGTATTGCCTAAAGTGCCTTAAGCACGTTTTGGTACTCACCCCTTGCTTCTACACTTGTGTAGATTCCGAGCCTGGACTTGTGTGATCTCCTTCTTCTTCTCCTTCTTCTTCTTCTTCTGAGTTCATGTAATTACACTGTGGCAACCAAACAGGTCAGTGTAATTACTAGGTTGGTAATTACTACCCTAGTAATTATACCAATTTCAATTACTAAGTGGCTTTCCAAACAGACCCAAAGATTTCCTTGTAAAGATTACAACATTCTTGTGTTCTGGGTCCATCTTAAATTACAATAATTACAACTTTTACTGTGAATAAATTTTGGACACTCCTTACTTGCAGTGTTTTAAGGTACATCATGACTTTTTATACAAATGGAAATTACAGGGCTGCTCTGTTTGGTCTGCAAATCATGCGAGTTGGTGCAAGGTTAGTTAAAATCCAAAGACATATCATTCACCTCTATGATGTTCTTGATCTTAGCTATATTGTCCTCCAAAAGTTTGTTTCCTTCACTAAGCGACTTAGTATTTTTTTTGTAAGTATTGAATTTGGTCAATATTTTGACAAGATGACCTCCGTTAGTTATTTCATCGATTTCGTTGAGTCTGAAAAGTCATATTAAATTGGGTCGCATAGTTTGTTTGCGTCGATGAAATTCTGAACGATTTTTGAGCCACCATCGTGGGATTTCTCACTTTTAGTGAACTACTGATGTAGTGTTGCTGGTGCAACACTGTTCCCTTCTTCGCGTTCGCAAAGAGTAAACTTCGTGGTCTCCGCGTTCACGAGTCTCTTACTGCATTCAAAGGGTTAGCTCCCTAGGCCTTTACGTTCGTGTTCTTCTCGTCGCGTTTGCAAATGGTTAATTCCTTGACAGTAATAAGAATTTATACTCGTTTTAGGAATGCATTTGTTCATTTTAAGACTTAGTATTTTGGCGATTTGGAGAGAAATTATTGACAGATTTGCGTGATTCTTGTTGAGTTGTGTTGGGGAATCGCATGGACACGTTCCGAGGTGGTTGAATCTTTAACTAACCTTGGTAATTTCCATAAATTTCTCTTTGATTCAGCTTTTTGATCCTTGTTGAGTTAATTTTTGGAGGGACTGTTTTGGCTCAATGGTGGCTCGGATTGTACCCATTTTCGGGGCACAACTTTCTTGAGCAGTTTGGGACCTCCTAACGAAGTCAATTTTATGACTCTGTGTGGGGGTTCCACAGTTGCGTTTTTGGGTTTGTATTTGCAAGTTCAAATTATCAATATTAATATGGATATTGTTGTGCTTGTTTTTGCGTTCCCATCGAGTTGTTGATAGCTTGAAAACATTTCGAGGCTCTTCGAAAGGGAAAAACACCAGAGTAGTCATTCGTGTGCGATTTCGGTCTAGAGGTAGGTTATGATTTCTCTTTTTTAGACTTTTCTTAGCTTGATTATGTATGTTTTGAATAGTTGATAGTTATAAATGCTTTAGGATTAGTTAGTAGGTGTATTTTACCTTTAGTGAGATTTATTTGTCATTTCAGATTATTTAGTTTAGTATTTTAGTCGATAAGTCTTAGTTTAGGTTGTGTCTTGGATTGATTGTGGTTTAGATCCTTAGAATGCTCTTAGGTAGTCTGGAAATTAGTTGGTATGCCCATTGATTGCTTGTTTATTTTTTTTGTGTGTGTGTGTCTTTTTTGAGTTATGTTTCGAGTTTATCGCTTTATTGATTGAACTGTTGGGACTGAGTCCTTGGGCTTGGACTAGCTAGAGTTCCAAATTAGTACGACTATCTTATGACGAGTGTCTACCCGGTTGTGTGTTGTATGAATTGATCTGTGAGAATGTTTGGGTTGTGGTGGCATGAAATCATGTTCATGGCATATTGATAACATAATTGCATTTGATTTTAGAAAGAAAAGAGGTTCTTGAATACTTACTATATTTTCTACTGAATTTAGATTCGAGGGAGCAGGATTATTGATTTTCATTGATTTTACTGATAGAGAGAAAATGTATCATTTTTGTCTTATTAGACATATGTTCATAAGCTCCAACAGCCTGCAGATTGAATTTCGTATTTTTGTTACTATTATTACATTTGTAGTTGAGTTGAGGCGGGTTCTGTAGTTATCTTGGGGGTCCACAGAATAGCCGATGAGATAATTTCGATACCTTTTTACTTTAAACATGCATTGGCACATGTGCATATCATTTCATTGTTTGATTGATTGTCGTGTGGTAAAGTTGTTGTTGCCTTCCGTGCCGATAGTTTTGGTTACTTTTAGCCTTATTACCAGACTCCTGTTAGAACTATCATGTTGCTTATTATATATATATTATCTTTCTGAGCTCGACCAGTCTGTCATGTCTACTGAGTATCCCGTATTTTGATACTCATATTACACTTTTGCTTCTTTTTCTGATGCAGATCTTAGTACGAGCCACCCCAAGTGAGCATTAGATCTCCCTTGGCTGTCACAGATATGGATCGTGCTGAGCTCTTAGCGTTCAGAGACTTTTTGCTTTCCCTCTTTTGCACTGACTTGTATTATGTATCTTGATTGGTCAGTTCTTTTGTATATATAGCTTTTCTGTACTTAGTAGCTTCTGTATCAGTGACATTAGGTCTCGTATTAGTTTTCCTTCTTGGTCACTTTTGGGCTTCTTTTGTATATTTTGTATCATACTTACAGATCTATACTATGGCATGTTTCCATATATAATCCATGTTTCCGTTTATTCTTAGTTATTATTAGTTAAATTGTTATCTTCCTCAGCTTTTGGTTTGGGTTTTGGCTTGCTTACTCGGGGTTTATAAGCGCCATCATGACCCGATTTTGGGTCGTGACAACATCTTAATATTTTTGCTTGGTCAATAAACTTTTGTTTGGCCATAAATTTTGAAGTTGAAATTTAAAAATTTAAGTTTTTGAAGTTGTGTCTGAATTTGTAATTTACTTGATTTTTATTGGGAAAATACATAAAAAACCCCCTGAACTTGGCACGAAAACTTACTTTAATACTTCAACTACACGGGTGTTTATATACCCCCCTAATCTCATTTAAAGTGAATAAATACCCCCCTAAGAATACAAAACCAGTCTCACAGTGGCAAGTATATTACACACGCGCCAAGTCATTGCCATATCAACGCCACATCATTGCCACGTCAGAATCGTGTTGGAAATCAGTTTTAAAAATTTATTTTTTTCCTTCCCTTCTTCTTCTCTCTCCCATGTTAGAAATCAATTTTTAAAATTTAATTTGTTTTTCCCTTCTCTCTCCAATGGATGCACTACCTTCCACCTCCATTAGTGTTTTCTCATTTCTTGCTTGATTATCATTAATTTTCACTAATGACTTCTCTATTTTCAACCTCAATATCTTCTAACAATTTCACTAATTTCTTTTGAGAAAATTCTCATACATTTTCTATCAATATCCATTGATGTGAGATTGCAACAAATATGGACCTACATTGAATTTTTTATCGATGTATTGCTCTCTTTGGTATTTGAGGACAAATAAATCAACTGAAAATGTAGATGAATTCGACCCTTTAGTAAAAAAAATAAAAAAATCCTTTCCAATATTCCATCTTCAAAAACCCTTATTTTTTCATGACATACAACAATCATAATTTTTGAAATCATAAAAATGTGTTATGAAATTTTCTTTTGTTTGACAGAAATCTCAAGTTTGATCGGAACGAAGTTTAATGATTTTTCTCTCTTTAGTAGATCTGAAAACAAAAAAAAAAAGATGAAGATTAAGATGCAGGTGAGGTAGGGTACAATGGGGGTGTTCGAAGAAGGAAAAAGGGCGAGAGGTAGGGTACAATGGGGCTGTTCGAAGAAGGAGAAAGGGCGAGATAAGGGGGTTCAAAATAAGTGAAAAGGGCTGCGGGGGGGGGGGGGGGGTCCATTATGCCACGTCCGCATTAAGGGGGGTATTTATTCACTTTAAATGAGATTAGGGTGGTATATAAACACCCGTGTAGTTGAAGTATTAAAGTAAGTTTTCGTGCCAAGTTCAGGGGGGTTTTTATGTATTTTCCCATTTTTATTTGAAGTTTTGTGAGTGAAAAGTACAATCAGATCAGATTTGAGAACTTGATAATATTTGAAGAATCTGATCAAATTTCATGATCAAACATTTTTTTTACGATAAATTTTTAAAATCGATCTGAAATCTCTAATCAAACGCTAGCTCAGGTTACTTTCATAAAGTTATAAGTAAATGAATTTTGAATTTAAGTCAACTTTAAAAGTTAGTCATGAAGAAAGAATTGCCCAAGAGGCTAAGATCAAGGATATCAAGTGTTAATTAACACACCGAGATCTAGGCTTCATTTCATTGCGATGGTTAATGATCTTCCATGTTAAATATTATTAGTCAAATTAGTTTTCTAAAATATAATTAACGAAAAAGGTCATATTTGTCCTTGTACTCTCACAAATAAGTCATATTTACCCTTAGTTATACTTTTCAACATATTTACCCTTTTCATACAAATTTAGGGTCATATTTGCCCTTATAATCTTTAACAGAGTCATATTTACCCCTACGATATTAACTCCTCATGTCATCAATATATTTATTTTTGTACTCTAAAAAATGATTATATTTGTCATTATACTCTTAAAAAAGGTTATATTTACCCCAATAACATTAAATTCGCATGTCCTCAAACATATTTGGATAGAATGGAATGGAATAGAGTGGTTGAAGAATCCTACCTATCTCATTGGGAAATGGACAGAATAGCAATGAGAATCGACAACTCAATTAAAACCATTGCCCTCCATTTAAGCTACGCCAAACCTAATTTTCTTTGACCAACAATATTATATATATATGTCTATCATTGAAAAGTGTAACATATTGACAAAATAACAAAATAGGGTTTGTTTTTTATTCTGCAGCCTTGCTTGTCACGTTGTTTAAAAAATAAAGAAATGCCAAAGATCTAAAATTAATAGTAATAAAGAAAGAGGAAAATAACAATAATATCCTACTTCACATTGTTTATAACGATTGTAAGTACAAAACCAAAAGATTAGAATAATCAAGTCACGTTAACATCCTTTGACCACAAGAGAAAGGGAAGGATTTATAAGTTAAAATTCCTCTTTACAAGGTATTTTTTTACTATTAAACTTGGGATTAAGAAATAGATATGGATGAAAAAAACAAAAATTGGGCAGTGAAAATGGTTGATAGATGAGCCAATTTTCTCCTTTTCATATAAGAAAACATAAAAAGGAGTAGTCCTAATAAAATAAAAATGCCAACTCTCAACTCAACACTTTTGTCTTAAAACGGACTATTCTTCACATTAGTTGGAGGAGTGACGTTGTCTCAATCTACTAACTCCCTAGCTCACTTCTATATTAGTTTGTTTTTCTCGTTCGATATTAGATATTTGCATCATAGTTCAACTAATTTAGATTTATGTGGCGTCGATAGAGCCTCATTCGGGGGTTGCACTGTCTATCAAGAATTTTTCCATACTTAAGACTCGAATCTGAAACATCTAATTAAGAGAGGAACAATTCCTTCTACTGCACTACATCCTATGATGGTATTCTATATTATTAAAATTAGGTCTAAGTCATCTGCAACCCCTTAAAGTTGTCTGCATATTTCACATAGACACCTCAACTATGACTATTACCTATTGAACACCTAAATATTTCAAAAAGTATACTTATTAAACACAAAACTTGATGTGGCAAACAAAGTGTTTTTCACTTCAGCTGAGCGCGTGAAAAAACCTTAAATATTATTTTATTTTTATTTTTTCAAAAAAAACTTAATACTTTTTACCACTTGGCATTTAAATAGTTTAATTTTTTTAAAAATAATTTAAAAGTAATACTAATTCTTAAAACAAAAACAAAACAGAAAAAAAGCCCCCCACCCCCACCCCTTTCAAGTCGTCTTCTTCACCAAAGAAGCCCTGTTTTTTTTTTTTTTTTTTCTATTCTATCTCTTTTCAATATTTATTAAAAACAATAAAAAATGAATCGACTAGTTGAATTTGAAGGAAAAAAGAAGAGAGAACATCAGGCTGAAAAAAATTAGCCGATCGACGTCCATCTCGGTCACCTTCGAACAATATTACCATTCAAATTAAAATGTAAACCCATTAAAATTATCAAAAATAATATCAGATTGATTCATAAAATAATTTAGGTCCTCTCGATTTCTCTTTGCTATCGATTGAAAGACTCTCTTTCTTCATCACTCTTGTATCAGTCTCTTTGAATACCTTTTTCTCTCACGTATTAGGAATAAAAAATAATTATAAAAGCAATTAACAAATATATTGAATTTTATCGTTTGAGAAAAAAAATTGTTAGGAAGAAGATGAAGAAGAAAAGGGGCTGGGTAGGGTTGAACTTCTCATTTATTTTTTAAAAAAAATTAGATGGAAAAATTTATTTGAAATAATTTTCATTCTTTTTAACATAATTTTTTTTCCTATAATTGTTGGACCCTACGCCACATGTTATCTTTTAAATAGTCATTTTGCCACATCACATCAAGTGCATTACACACACTTTATTTTTTTTACTTATTATCGGAAAATATTTAATAGGAACAAGTTTTGAATAGATAAAAGTGTTTAATAGGTACTAGCCTTAGTTGAAGTGTCTAAGTGAATTGTGCGGACAACTTTAAGGGGCCGCAGATGACTTAAGTCTTAAAATTATTTAGTCACAAAATACATATGTATTTATAAAGTTAATTAACTTTTTTTCATTTTGCCGTAAAATAAATAATAATATTGATTATATTGAAAAAATAAGAATAAAATAGTATATGAAATTTTTATTTATGATTTTTAAAGAGGGTGTGAAAGAGAAATGAGAGAATTAATATGAGATAGAGAGAGTAATATAGTACTCCCTCCGTCCCATTTTATGTGGCAACATTTGACCGGGCACGGAGTTTAAGAAATAAATGAAGACTTTGAAATGTTTACCAAATTGCCCTTTAAAAAGTAGACTCTTTTTTCTCTCTCCTCATAAATGTATTGGAGTATTATTTTAAGATTAAGTGGGACTAACAAGGATAAAAGAGGAATTGTATCTTTATAAACTTACCATATAAGGAAATGTGACATTCTTTTTGGAACTGACCAAAAAGGAAATGTTGTCACATAAAATGGGACAGAGGGAGTAGTACTTTGATTAATGTCATTAATTGACTTTACCCTAAAGATTAATAGTTTAATGATTTGAATATTGTAATGAAAGTTTTAAAATAATACTCAAAAGATGACTTTGTGTCTTGAACAAAGGGATTTCAGTTATCGGGGATTGGTTTTTATGAAGTGTGGCGTGAATGGCGCGCTGTCCCAACTCTTTCATTAATACCTCCGAATGTGTCTATTTACTTATTCATTTTTGACTTGACACACATAAGAATATAATAATGGATATGAGTTTACTATTTTACCTCTATTAATTGATAGAATTTCAAAATCGATTTACTCGTTAAAGAGGTTTTATTTTTTTCAAAAATATTAACTATCTAAATAAATTGAGTGTATAATAGATAAAAATAATAATTCTTGATTTGTCAAAAATTGCAAGTAAAAAGTCAAAATTGGACAAATAAAAAGGAACATGGGAGTAGTAGTAGTGAAAAACTCCACTGCTCTTCCATTAACCAATGTATTTACCCCTCTGGTGGTTGGTTGGAATTATTTATAAGGTAATGCTAAATGGCCAGAA